GGAAGCTTAATTGTCACGCTTTCAACTTTTTCTTTGCCGTTGCTTTCCACAGCAGCTAACCACCCATCCAACCCACCCATAAGACTTCTTATTTCTTAATATTATGAAATTATCATAAAAATTATGAAATTAAAAAATGAATTGAAACACAATATATAGCTTAAAATTTAAATCATTGGTGCTCGACATGCATAATGCTGCGACTAAGGAATAATTGACATTTATTTTGCACGTACTCGTTTTAAAGTCATTAACTTTAGAATATTATGCGGAGTACTACGTACTATGGAGTATTATAACTAGTGTTTTTCTATTGGAGACTTCAAAATATTTGTTCACATCATTATTTTCTTTATTTGTTAGTACAAGTTAGGTAAATTAGCTTGTGCACCTATTATTTACATATTATACATACATACGTTTAATGCGAGAAAAATCTTTATTTGATGCATTTGTGTTGCAATTTTCCATTTTATTGTTTACTTCAAAACTATGAACCGGTTGATTATTTATTTATTTTAGCATCAAGTGTTCCATCTTTCTCAGATTGATTCAGGAAATTCCAATCAAGAGACAGAACACAGACAGTGCGGCCATTCAAATTTAATATAAAAGGAGATTATTGTCTATGAAGTATAAGATAAAACCAAATTAATGGTAGAAATTAAAAGGAGGCGTGTATAATGATAATTGAAAACTCTATTTATTTATTTACTGATTTATTTATGTATTTGTTAGGGATTTTGTCAGAGTTAACGGCCTGACGACAAAAATGTTATTAAGGATAAGTAATCTGTGACGAATTTTGTTAGGGACTTGTTAGGAATGGTCACTAACCACATTTTGTCCGGCTAACGGCGAAGTTTGTAGGGATTATAATCCCTACAAATTAACGAATTAACGAACTCTGAACTTATTTTTTAAAAGTTTGTCACAGAATTTTATCCCTAACAAATGTTTAATTTTAACTTAGGCACATTGTTTATAAATATCATTAAATTGAATGGGTTTAGTGCTCATACCAAGATATCTGGTCATCTGACGTTGGCATGGACCCTCGCTCACTGAAAATGAAAATATTCCGTGGAGAAGAATAAACTTGTGCACATATGCTTTTAAAGAAACTTTGCAAAAGCAGAGATTAGCATTAATGATTATGACTCGCCTTTACATATAAGCACTACATCTTTTCCTTTTGACAAATCAAATAAAAAGTTTCCTCCAAATTGAGGGCCAACGTTATCATTATCTAAAGGATTTAATATTATTTGCTTTAAAGTTTAAACTGAAAAACACTTGTTACCAAGATTTGGTGTAATGCTGCTTTCAAAAAAAAAAAATGGTGTAATGCTTGTGTATAAGGCCAACCTCAACAGTTTACGCCATTTTTTATACTAAAATGATGTAAACATCACATCATACAGTATTTTATCTCCAACAGTTTACACCATTTTCATCACCAAAAAGGAATATTCCCTTTTTATTCTTTTTACTAACTTTTTACCATTCTTCTATTTAAGTATCTAATTATCATATATTTATACATTAGCCCCTCATTTAATATTTTGACATTTCACACATTATTTCACACATACAAACTAAAATACATCATTTTAATATGTATTTTCACGCATTTCACCAATTAAAATACAATAATCAATATTTCACAAATACAAGCTAAAATCACATAAAATTAAATATTACAATAATATTATAATAAATTGTATGTCATTAATAAAGTAATACTTAAACTTAAATGAATAGATTAAAACTTGGGTAGTTATAAAAAATACAAAGAAATCAGACCTGACCACATCAGTTCATACTCATCATACTAGACTAGACCAGACCAGACCAGACCAGACCAGACCAACAAATTTCAGTCCAGGTAAAAACATCCTAATTTGTTGTTTTAAAAATGGGTCAAAACTATAACAATCAAAACTTTGGGTCACTTTTGAAATAACAACAAATTAAAAAAAGAGGATGGTGTGGGATTTGGTGTAGGGCATAAATTCTATCCCTCTCCCCCAAAATGGTGTAATGGTGTAAGATATGGTGTGACTGTTGGAGTATTTTTTGGCAAATCCACCATTTTGGTGTGATAGTTGGTGCTTGTTGAAGTTGGTCCGATCCCCTATCTTATAAAGATGATATTTCTGGAAGAGGGGGGCTTACATTGGATATCATATCATTAACATATGGAAAGAGGTTAAAATGATATATGAACCACAGACAACCAACAACCATCGAATCAGACTTAGAGTTAATTACCTTCAAACAAGTAATATGATTCGTTCATCCTATAAAGTTGAAATTTATTAAGTGAGATTGCAAGCCAAAAGGCAATGTGAATTTGACACCGTTAACAAATACTCCGATGTGTAGGTTTTCACGTATAATCGGCACAATAAGCTTTTCACGTATTTCACGGTACTATATAGGTTTGCTATATATTTTTTAAAAACTGTGATGTTTTTATACTCCGTACTATAATAGACTAATAGAGTACTACAGTACTTATTACTATATTAAAGTTTAGTGCAACTGTTTTTTAGATAGATTTATTTCTAACAACAACAACATGTCAATTAATTTAATTTGATACAACCCTAAAAGCTAGGAATAGTGAACATTTATAGTGATATAGTAAGACTGTGGGAGTGTTGAATTTGGATTGATTAAGAGGGGGATTCAATCAATGAATTATGAGGAAGAAAGAGCACGACATGGTATTAAGTTATTAACACCGAGCACTTTCGGAGTCTGAGTTAATGTTTGGGAGTTTGGGAGGGGGTTTTGAAGAGATAAAAAGGGAAAAACTCTTGTTCTTAATGAGTAACAAATTTGAAAAGATAAATGTTATTAATGAGTTATAATTGAAATCACTTCACATATATGACGAATTCAATTCGAACACTAATAGTTTTACCCTAGCAAGAGCTGAGGGGTTGGAATTTCGCCGGTGAAGTCTTCATCGTCTTCGTGCGGCGCTGGGTATAGACGCGGCTATGGCGTCGTTTTTGTATGGCTTGGTCAATTGTAGTAGCAAGGCGATGGAGGACGGTTCAGACGACAGTCGCAAGGATGGTCGTGACCGAGAGAAAGAGCAGGTGGGTGATCTACGAATAGATGATGATGTGGCTTCTGAATCCGACTCTGGGGTGACAACGAGAGAGGCAATCAATCGAGCGACGAAGGTCCGGCCTCCTCCTGAACCACCGACAGGGATTGCACGAGGTGCTAGGGTTCAAGACTTTTACTTTGCTTATTTAGTTTTTCTCATGTTTTGTCCTCCTCCGATGAGACTTTATTATTTTGTCATTTGGTTTCTCGTTACTGTCTATGTTGTTAGGTGTGTTAGTCTGTTTCGGAATTTAGCCTTTGTTCAGGTCATTGAGTATGTTTGGATCTTTGGAGACAGGGATGGTTGTGCCAAGCCCGTTACATGGTTAGCGATTCGTGTTGCTCTTTCAGGTGTGACCGTCTCTGAGTCTCACCATAGGATTTACGGTCGTAGTTGTTTGTGTCTTGTTGGTGTTAGATGTATTTTTCATTTCATTGATGTAATGATCCTGAAACTTATGATATGAATATAAGCTAGTTTCGTTACAAAAATATATATGACGAATTCAAAGAGTTGAATTTATATTTATTTAAAATTAAGATATAGTTGTCATTTGATTAATTATCCTTCCAGATGCCTTCATTTGGAAAATATGAAAATTGAGCATTTGAAAGGTTTCAGATGACTACAAAAGCCCTTCAAAACTATCCCTCTATTTTTAAACATCCCAAACATGAAAGGGAAGGTCACAAACCCCTGTCCACCCTCCTCCCATCCAAAACCTAACTCTTAAGCACACCCTAAGAGTATGTTTGGGGGTTTGAAGGAAGGGGAGGAGGAGGTTTTGAAGGTTAGTCATTTGAAGGGAATGAGAGGGAGAGAGTTGGAAACCCTTTTTCTTGTTTGGGAGTAACAAATTTGAAAATATAAAGGTTTTGGATGAATTATAATTAAAATCACTTCACATATTTGACGAATTCAAATCAATGAGTTTATATTTATTTAAAATTGTACTAAAGTTTTATTTAATTAGTTATCATTCAAAATTCCCAATTTGTGAGAACTTGAAAATTGAGCATTTGAATGGTTTTGAAGAGTTACAAAAACCCTTCAAAACAATCCCTCCATATTTTTAAACTCTCAAACATGAAAGGGAGAGTCATAAACTCTGTCAACTTTCCTTTGCCCTTCAAAGCCCAACTCGGCAACTCCCAAACATACCATAAATGTATAATGAAAATGACAAAATTACATATGTTTCGGTTATAGTCGACCAAGCCTATTAGACCATTTGTAGTGGTCAAGAGTCCAAATTGTTAAATTTGGACTCCGTTCATATGAAAACAGTGTTTTGACTCCGTCAATAATGTTTTTTCTTGCATCCGTGCACCGTCGATAAAATACACTCTGCATATTTTTCACATATCAATTTAGTAAAACATTAATTAAATTATTGTAAGTAATATTTTACTTTGTTTTTATTTATGAAGTGTTATGAAATTAAAAAATACACTACAAATGGTCTTATGATTAGTTCTCAGTCTAGTCCAACTTGGACGGTTGGACCCGTCAAAACGAACTCTTATGTTAAACCAAGAAACCAAGTGCACATGTCATCATCTAGTTAGTCAACAATCTTTATTAGGCCCGGACACATGGTCCATGAATGCAAGTTGTCAAGATCACTTAGCATGCATGCAATTCAAGTACTCTACCCAAACCATTTTGTACTGTTTGTATATAAATCCCCTATAGGTTTGTTTGGGTACTGGCGTTTCACTCAAAACACCAACTTAAATAAACTAGAAACGCTGCAAATGCAGTGTTTTGATCTAGCATTTCTAATCAAAGAATTGCAAATGGAGTGAGATATTCCATCTTGATATCAAAGATGGAAATATTATCAAACTCGAACCTTAAAATGTTCATCTCAGCTGGGTTCAGTTATAGCCCTACATCCCTACATAGTACATACCAAGAGAGATTGATCAACAAGAAAACTTTGAAATATCATTGTTATTAAGTATACAACAGTTTCTTATGGGTAAAGGCATTGAGCATAAATTGGCACAATTGGGAGGAAGATATATAAGCAAGGCAAAATGGAGATACAAAAGCACAGGTCTTCTGTGCAGGCAAGTGTGTTGTTTATTTTCAGAAGCATGCAGCTCTGAAGTTATAGAAGTTCAAAATAATTATGAAATGAAAATTAAGATGATGGTGGCTTATAGTACTTCGTGGGAACAAAGGGCATTTTAGTAACCACACCGTCATAAGGCTTCCCACGAACCGAAATCTTCACACTAGTGCCGGCTTTGTGTAATCCAGATTTTATGTACCCCATCGCAATGTTCTTCTTCAGGCAAGGACTGAACCCCCCACTAGTGATTTCCCCAATGTTTGCTTGCCCATCCTCGTCTTGGATCTCACTGTGACTTCTTGCTGGTGGGCCAGAGGATACGAAGCCCACTCTTCTGATCTTCGGGCCTTCAGCTATTTGTTTCAGGATCACATCGGCCCCGAGGAAGCCTCCACCTTCAGTCCTTCTTCTCTTCCCTATGGCCCATGTAAGTCCGGCCTCTACAGGTGTTATGTGTTGGTCCATGTCATTCCCATATAAGCACAACCCCGCTTCAAGCCTAAGGCTGTCCCGAGCACCCAGTCCTGTTAACCTCACCTTCCCTTCAGACCTTTCTAGAATGGCTTTTGCCAGGTCCACTGCATGTTCAGACGGCACTGAAATTTCAAATCCATCTTCACCTGTATACCTACCTTGTTACAACCGTGGAATTCAAAGATTAGTTCACTTCTAAGTTTTAGGTGTGTAATATATAAGCAACCATTCATAACAAGACTCTTGTTTGGACGAAGAGAGTAAAGTAACTCATTAAACGAACAGTGTTTATGCATTTCTTTTGAAAATACTCCGTGATAAATATTAACATATTCGCATAATATTTATCTTTAATAATACTCTGCATAACTTATGAGGAGCATTTGTGCATATTCTGGGAAGATGCGTATATTAACCCAAACATTTTTAATGTTTAAACTTTAAAGATATCTCTACAACATTTATCTTTGATAATACAGTCCGCCGAGCATAATTATGAGAGTATTTACATATACACCCCTACATTTTAATGATTTACATTCCCCACAACATTTGGTCCTTCATAATGCTCCCTCCATCCCCAATATAGGTTCTGGTATGATTTTGCTACTATTGAGAAAGTGAATGATATTTTCGTATAACTCCTACATTTTTAGTACTTATGCATTCCCACAACATTATGTATCTTGCACTTTTTCAATAATAAAAAATTTTCATTTCAAAATGTCTCAATTCCGGCTTTCCATTTATGTGCCTAATATAGCAATTTAGTAGTATCTAAAGGTTTTTCCGAGTTCCTAAAGACAATAAGCACATAGGATATAAGCAGTTTCTGTTCTTTGTTTAGTGGTTGATTAATAATTTTGGCCAAAGGGAAAAACAGGGAGATGGTGAGCACTGAAATGAACATGTACCCTGTTCTTGTGAGGAAGCACGAAACACCATTGATATCCAGTACCTTGAAGTTACCAAAATACATTTTGCTTAAGTCTTCCTTTGTCAAATTTTGGAGGACCGTGGCAGCAAGTGGACCCTGACCCACGAAAGTTGAAACAAAAGTGTTCCTTAAACATTCACACTTCCTCTTATGAAATAGGATGATAATCAACATTGAGTGTCACTATAGAGAGACACTTGAGAATTAGAAACTTGTAAGCATATCATGTTTGTTAGCCTATGCAGATATAAAATTAGAAAAATGTGCTAGTGAATAAATTTCTCTCCTGGGCTGCATAAAATATTTTCAGAAGAGAAGGAAATTGCCAATGTGTAGTCTATGGAGAGAATGGAAGTCGGGTTTGGGAGGGTAAGAGATGGGGAAGGGGGTAGTTTCAAATTTTTTATGCTTTAATGTGATAGTATTACAATTTACAAAAAATACATGAACTGATAAATAAGTATATGCTCAATCTGCTAGTCCTTTATTTATTACTACAATCCACATAGTGTTTTGCATAACATATAAAAAACATGTACCCCCTCCCCTAACCTTCAAACCCCTCCACCACCGAAAAATAATCTTATGTACTTTATCCTATTTCATGTCATATTCCAATTGGGTCCCTCACTTTAATAGATGGTTTTTATAAGGAATACTCGCAGAATTATGATAGTAACAACAATAAGAATAAAAAGGAACCTAAAAACAAGAGCAATAACCTGGAGAGCCAAAAGAGACCGTTCGTCATGGATGTGCCAAGAAACATCGCCCCCTTTAGAAGTGTAAGCTTTCATGTGTTCTTCAATGTGTGCAAGATCCTTGTCCCTACACCCAGCATTCACAACAAGGTATATATGACTATCGGTGACCTTGGTGATCACTGAATCATCAATTGCCCCACCAGTTTCATTTGTGAATACAGTCAAAGTTCCAGTCCCCGGCACAAGTCCAGCCACATCAGCAATGACAAGCTTCTCCAAGAACGGGATGCAATCTTTCCCCTTTAGACTTAAACCGCACATGTGTGAAACATCAAACAGGCTGCCGTTCTCCCTGCAGTTTACCGTTGACTCCATAATTGAATCTTTATACTGAATTGGCATGCTCCAACCCGCAAATGGCACCATTTTGCCGCCATTCTTCACATGGAAGTCGTACAAAACAGTCTTCTTCAGAAGATTGGGTTCGGATGCAAAGCGCCTACAAGCAATAGTACTAGTCCTCTTGTCTACCAAGCAGTGGCGAGTAATCGATTGCCCAAGTTTCCACATTCCTCTTCCTCTCATCTTTACAGAAAGATACACCGTCTGCATCATAATAATACTCAGATGCCAATAAGTAACACAGAAAGTCAGAAATGGTTGGGTTTTAAGAATCCGACGTAGATATGATAAAGAGAAGACAAGACATATAAGTGCCGTAACGGCTAGGGCCAAACTGGAAGGGTGCCATCAACTGGTTTTCGGTTCAGGTTTTCAATGTGAAATTGCGGTTTGCCAGGGATCTAAACAAAAGCAGTCTCTCTATAAAAAGTGAGATAATACCAGATATGTTTGGTTGGATTTAGTGAGGTGAACAATGACCAAATTCAAATGAGCAAAAGCTCAAATTTTGAAAATATATTGACAAGCAAACCAATCATGTTACCATATTAGAAGCTTCAAAATGCAACTTGATTAGGCTGAAAGCCATAAAAACAACAAATAATTGAATGCTTACAAGGAATGCTAGACATTCTCATTCTGATTTCTAACCAATAATATTTCTTAAAAACCAAATAGAATTAACCTAAAGATTATGGTTGTCTTTTTTCATTAATTAATTCCAATCAACAAGTTTCATTCCACATTCCATCTTCCAAAGCCAAAGCTTTCATACACACTTACCCGTAATCCTACAATTGTAAGAATCCAAATCTTGACATTGAACACCAAGAAGCTGAATCCAGAATCCAAATTAATTGAGCATGTAACAATAATACATCAATATCTGTATAGAAAATATTGAGAATCAGGTTGAATACTTTCGAAATGCAGAAGTCAGTCACAGACTCGAGGAGAACAAAAGCAATGGATTTCAGATCTAGAGAGTTGATCCATGAAGACGTATGCATGCGATATTTGTGCGTGTTAGAGAGAATATGCTTGGAGATTCACTAAATTGATTGGGATAATTCTCTCAATTGATGGAAAATTCGCATACCCAGGTTGACGTTGATCCCCAATAATCACAATGAATATTCATAGAAATAAAAGAAAAAGAGATTCAGGAGTACTTACCACTCCAAAAAGTGCAAGAAGCTTGGAACTTGAATGAATGAATGAGATAAAAGGAGGAGTAGCAGATTAGGTTCTCATCCGCCCTTCCGTATTTCGTTTTGTGCAAAAGAAATGGGAAAAGTGTCAAATAGATCCTCGTACTTTAATGAAATCGTCAATTGAGTCCTCGTACTATTAATTTAACCAATCAAATCCTCCTACTTTTAAAAACGAGTCAATATTGCCTCTTAGCCACCGAGTAACCGGCTCTCCCGTTTTTGGCTGATGCGGCTGCTTATGTGGCTTTAATTAATCGCCTATTTGTTAAATCGTTAATGACATGCCACTAAGAGTCAAGAGCCGGGTTTCCCTCTATCCTCCCTACCGTTTATCGTAGAAGACTCCTCGACAATGGAGACTTTGCTTGAAGCTGCGAACGCCCAACACGCAATCAATTAGAATCATTCATACTCTGGCGAAGGAGAAAGTCTTGCTATTACGGAAAACCGCTCAACAATCCTGCTGCACCAAGTAAGTTCTAAAAAATTGTGGTCTTTTGTTGTGTGTAGTTAACCCTAATATTGTGGAAAACTTTACAATTTGTTGCTTCTTAATACATACGAATATATTATTAACAGGATGGTTGAGACTGTACACCTAATTATTCACCATGGAGGGAATTTTGTTAGTGCTCTGAAGAGTATGTATGTGGGCGGTGAAACGGAAAGTGTTGAAATTGATCCAGATTGCATATGTTATCCACATTTGGTGAAGTTTCTAAGATCTGGAAGTTATGGCAACATTAAAAGGCTGTATTTTAAAAGACCAAGTGACACTATAGACAATTTACGTGAGCTCTTCAGTGATGAATCAACATTGGAGTTGATAGATTTGGCTAGAAGTTGTGGGGAATGTGATATATTTGTTGAGAATGATTTGGATGAATATGAATTGGTTGACTTTCTCCCTCTTCTTTCACCAAATGTACCACTTCAGGAGCAAGAAAGTTACTTTGGAGGTCAAAATAATGAGTCCAATGCAGCAGCCGGTGTTGAAGTTATGTTTGAGGGAGGTAATGATGATGACGACCTTATTGATGCAGACTTAGCCGCAGATTACAGTGGCTCTTATGTGGAAGAAATAACAGTAGACAGAGATGATATTGCTACCCCAAGTGAGAGTGAAGAAGCTGATAGTGTAGAGTACGACTCTTCAAATCCACCTAGTTACACTTCGGAGCACCTGTCAGATGATGGTCAATCTAAAAGGAGAAACAATGGGCTGTCCTCCTATAATCCTGAATCTGAACCTCCTTTGATTGAATTTCGAATGCTTTTTGAAGATGCTCGACAATTCAAGAATGCTATTATTAGATATGCTATTCATGAGAAAAAAGATGTGTATTTTGTCAAGAATGACTTGACGAGAGTTAGACTTTTGTTGAAATCTAGAACTTACCCTGGTGCAGCAGGATTGTTGAACGGTTTCTCGTTCACTTCTTCCTCCACTAGAGTACGGATGATTCTCCTTGACTGGGTGTGTGGTCGTTCGCAGGTTCAAACCTCTTTCATTGTCGATGAAGTCTTATGCGGCAAACGAGAGAGTAGAAATAAAACCTGGGGGGCTTTTAACTTAGTGGCATGTCAATTAACAAATTGGCGATTAATTAAAGCCACGTAAGCAGCGGCATCAGCCAAAAACGGGAGAGCCGGTTACTCGGTGGCTAATAGGCAATATTGACTCGTTTTTAAAAGTAGGAGGATTTGATTGGTTAAATTAATAGTACGAGGACTCAATTGACGATTTCATTAAAGTACGAGGACCTATTTGACAGTTTTCCCAAAACAAATTGTCAGCCGCCGTTGGATATTCAGAATGGCTCACATTAAAGGGTGGAGCTTGGGTACACACTTTTTGTACATAAAAAGTGTACACTTGTCTGTCCCCCACAGACATAAAAAGTGGGACAACTCATCTCGCAACATACAACTTGTCTGTAGGGGACAGACAAGTGTACACTTTTTATGTACAAAAAGTGGTCCTCGAAGTTGCAAAAAAGGGGTTAAATAAGTCCTTATATAGAAAATTTTGTCCGGACGTGCCATTTGAGGTGGCTCCCGGTGGAATTTTTTGATGAAATTTTTTGAGCAATCTTATTCATTAAGTCTAGTTTACTTATACCAAATTTCAAATAAAAATTCTATCGGGAAGACATTCAAATGAATTCTTGAAGATAATTGTGCCGTTAAAAGCGCAATTATCTTCAAGAATTCATTTGAATGTCTCCCCGATCGAATTGTTAGCTGAAACTTGGTATGAGTAAACTAGACTTAATGAATAAGATGCTCAAAAAATTTCATCAAAAAACTCTATCGGGAGCCACCTCAAATGGCACGTCCGGACAGAATCTTCTATATAAGGACTTATTTGACCCCTTTTTTGCAACTTCGAGGACCAAACTGACCCTTTACTCCATTAAAAAGGAGCAGATTCGAATCCAAATTAAATTAGAAAGAATGACCAAATTAAAGAAGAGGCTATTGAGTTCACAAAAATGATACGGAGTACCTTATTTTATTACCTTGGACAAAAATGTGATTAACTGAATGTCACTTACACAAATTTTAAATGATTTTAAGGAATTATCATAGATTATATGGATTTTAATAGAATTCTATAAGTTCTAATAGATTCTTATGGAATTCTATGAAGTTCTATTTTATAGAATTAAATGGATTTGAATAGATTTTAAAGAATTTCATGAGATTCTTATGTGTTTGTGTTTCTCAATTAACATACATATATGGGGCGTTTGGATCTGCTTCATAAAACTGCTTCTGCTCTTTCATAGAGCAGAAGCAAATATTTGAGTGTTTGAGGGTAAGTGTAGAAGTACATCTGATGACTCCAAAATGCTCCTAGAAATAGCTTTAGAAGTTAAGGGAGACAAAATCTTAAAACTGATTCTGGATCTACTTTTGCTTTTAAAAAAGAAGCAAAAGCAGAATCAATTCCAAACATCCCTAAAACAAGACTATGGGCTATTGAGTAAACAAAAATGAGACCTTATTTTATAATGGACAAAAAAAATGATTAAGTGAATGTCTCCGACATAGATTTTAAATAATTTTAAGGGATAATAGATGATATAGATTTTAATAGAATTCTATTGATTCCATTATTCTTATGGAATTCTATGAAATTCTATTTCATGGAATCATATGGATTTCAGTGGATTTGAATAGATTTTAATGGGCAAGCCGCCGATAAAAAAGCATGCCATGGAGATGATTATTGCTTGATGTAACTTGAAGCAAGGCTCACGGCAGGGACGGAACGCGTCTGGGGTTTGCTCGAGCACTATTAGGAGCGGAAAATAAGGTCTTTTGTCACTGTAGCTTAGCTTTTGTGATCGGGTTCTCCGATTTGCCATATCCGACTGAGCTTTAAGTTCTGGTCAAAAGTTTTGCATTGCGTTTCGTTTGTGAACATTCGTTTGAGAGCAGCTTGTGTTTGTCAATTGCTTTGTGTTGTTTAGTTTTTGTTGGTCTGCTCTTTTGTTAGGAGAAAATAACGGAGATTTATGGAAAGATGTCGATTGAGAAGGAAGAAAATAGTGGATTGGTGTTTGAATGTGATGCCCTAAATGTTAATAGTGGGGTGGGAGAAATTCCACGTTTCTCTGTTGTGGCTAGAATTATCACGGATAAACTTGTCTGCCCTGTGTCATTTAGGGAAACTGTGGCTATGATTTGGCGCCCGAGTAAAGGGGTGAGCATCGAACATATATGTGAAATGCGTTTCATGATTCAATTCTTCTATGAAAATGATATCTCGCCAGTTTTGCAAGATAGGCCATGATCTTTTGATCAGAATCTAGTTGTTATAAGCAGGAAGGAACCGATCATTGGAGGTAGAGCTTAATCATGCGGAATTCTGGGTGCAGATCCATAATTTACCTCTCAGTTTTATGATTGAAAAAGTGGCAATTGGCATCCGTCGTGCCTGGGAAAGCCGGTAAGAATTGATGAAAGAACTCTGAATGAAAAAAGCAATGAGTTTGTCCGAGTACATGTGTTGATAGATATAAGAAATGATCTGAAGAGAAGAACTCAAGTCAGGGAGGAAGGGGATAGCTGGTTTTTTGTGTATTTTAAATACGAGAGGCTTCCAAATTTATGTTTCATATGTGGCATTTTGGAATGCACTCACTGATAAATATTGTCCTTCAAACACAAGTGCATGACCATTGGTGGGTGACAAAGTGTATGACCCCTGAATGCGGACAGATATGAGGCGAGGAGGAACACACCCGAGAAATAAATGGATCATCCCGAGTACAGGGCGCGAGTTGAAGAGCACAACGAAAATAGGGGAAAGTCTGAGAGAATGCCAGGAGAAGGGTGCCGATGTGGGTTGCTATTTGGTCCAGGACTTGATCTCAAGAGGAAAAGAGAAAGTGAGACTGGAAGAGGAGCCAAAGCAGCATAGAGTTATAGAGGAAGGGGAATCCAGGAAGCGAATAGTTGATCTGGAGAATCTGGTGGAAGTTCATGTTAATATGGAGGTAGATAATACAAGTTCAGAAAACAATGTTGCGGCGGTGCTACTGAATCAACACAGCCTGAAATACCATTAATGGATGCAAGTGGTGTTAGGAAATTTATGTAACATACTTCAAAAGTATAGCAACAAAAGTTTAAAATTTTCCCAAATAGATCTTTCATGATTATGACAAAATAACGAACATAACAATAACAATATATCTGAGTTAGAACTTACAGATCTTCTAGCCTAGTGGTGATAATCCTTGACCTTAGGTATCTACATGATTTCTCTTTTTCGAAAGAACGATTAGATCTCCCAAACAGAAAGGTTGGGAAATCTCTTCACAGTGAAATAATCTGGTAATACTGAATCTAGAAAACTAGTCTCTTAATAATGGAGGAGGAGGATGTATTTATACTAGTTTTTTTAACAAATGTAAATACCTGTTTTTCTGTGTACAATGATTAGATAGAATGCTTCAAATTCATCATCGGTAGTATGAAACATTAGAAGCTCATCTATAGCAGGATCACCTTCTTCATCTACTTCTGCATCAATTTCTTTTGGTTGTCCAACAATTTCTTTATCGGATCTGTAAGTTGAATTCTTTTTTATGATGGAGTTGATGCTTTCATATACAATGCTTCTTTCTTCTCAAGATTTTTACCGGATCAAATCATTTTCATTAGTCAACTTCAGATGACAACACATAATCGCTAAGGTACTTTGGAAAAACTGCTCCTGTGCTACCATAACAAGTACAAAGGGTGAAAGAATATCTATAAACTCCACAAAGGCTTCATTCTTTCCAACATCCCTTCATCTTCCACATACTATGTAGCATGAAAACTCTCGGAAAAGAGTATGTGTCTGTTTCAGAAACTCTTTGAAAACTCTTCAAAAACACATTTTTTGAGCAAAAGTTAACGTTCCTCGTTTCCTGTTTGATTTTTGTGTTTCCGTGCAACATAGTTCACATATTTATAAAAAAAAGTCACCATCATTTGAAAATTTATTAGTGCCCTCATCATGGCTCCCCGAGCCTAAGATCATGACAAATTTATCCTCGCTAGGCACAGAAGCAAAACCCGAGCCTCCATAAACTGTCATTTTGATAGCCTCGTGGCTTCCCAACATGTGACAATCTATGAGGATGCTTGGATATGTGTCACAAGTCACAACTCACAACGTATTCCATATCGATATGTAAACTCTACAAGTAAAAAAAGTGCATAACTAAATAAACATAGCAATACAAGTATATAACACCTGGATTTCTCATTTCTCTACAGTTTTTTTAAATAACTCCAACGGGAGAAAAATCAAAATGTACACTTAATTAGATTATTTAAAGAGATCAAAATGGATACTAACCTGTTTAGTAGACCAAATAAACCTATAATTCACCTTTTAGTATCACTTTTGGACACTAATAAACTGGCGGGGATAAAACTGTGCTGTCCTGTTAGTTTTCAAAAGGGAAACAAGGAAACAAGATATTCAAAAATTAAGAACCCTATTGGCTTATTATTATACACATCCCCTCTGCCAAAAATTCAAAGAGCAGTCCGAGAAGAAGTCCGTAGACCAAAGAGTACAGTACAAATTTCAAGTGCGTAGCTATACAAGGAAGATAAGAAGTTATCTTAGTATTCTGACTTAGAAGAGCATTGGGAATGAGTTGGCAAGGTAATTAATATATTTTTTCCATGTACAACTATTTTCTAAGGAAGAAGATAGTTATGTCTAACACATTGTTGTTCCAGACGTGCTTAGAGAATAGTTGCAACATTTACACTCATCTGTTGGTGGTTTAATGGGGGGTGTTATATCAAGCCTATGCTTGCAGCATTTAAAGTACACATACTACATTAATGAAAATCCAAGATAATACAACAATCAAACAAGTTCTCATTTTATTTCTTTCCCTTTCCAATTCCATATTCTCAGCTACTTTGGAACTTCACAATTTTTAAAGATCACTTTGCATATTTTCAAATTCAATATCAAAATCTTAGAGTCTAGCTTTCTCAAATCCCCTCGCACCAATGTCATGCTTCAGGATTGACCCGGAGTGTTTACAATTTCCTTTTTAGCTGAGCCTGATGATGCATCTGATTGTCTCATGATCCAAATTTGCATCTCATATTTCGTCTTTAGAGAGAATTGAAGAAGATAAATGAAGGTGATAATGAATAAGGGTTGCTTTGCGTTTAAGTTTCTATCTTAATCTCATTGAACTCCTTGGAGCTGACGGCTGGACAGAGAACAAATTGAGATTGCTAAAATTAGTACTTCAATTCTTCAATTTACCCTTAGCACTTCTTCTTGTTCCTGCAGTTTGAATTTTGAGCAAAACGGTGCTTGGACGGGGCAACAATAGGGTCTGGATGTCTTGTTTCCTTGTGTGTTTTTTGAAAACTAACGGCGCAACACGTTTTAACCACATTCAGTTAGTCGGTGTCCAAAAATGATCTTTAAAGGTGATTTATGGGTTTATTTGATCTACTTAGTGAGTGTTTGAAACAGTTTCTGCTTAAAAAATGTACTTTTGGGGTGATTTGAAAAAGGTGATTAGTTGTAAAAGTTGATAGTGTTTGAGAAAAAAGTGATTTTGAAAAGTAAAAGTTGGTAGTGTTTGGTAAAATAAGTGTTTTTGGTGTATAAAAAGGGAAAAAGCACTTTTGACACGAAAGCCGAGAAAAGTAAAAAATTGGTAGTGTTCGTTAAATAAGTACTTTTTAAAGCAAAAAGTTGAGAAATGTTTTTTTAAAACAGTTGCAACAGCCCTTGAAAGGTGAGTGTCCATTTTTGTATGTGTGTTTATACTTTATACTGCGTTTGGGCATGAATTTCTCAATATAAACTTATTTAGCACTAATTAAGGTAACACTTTCTTTACAATTCAAATATGAGATCCACGAACTTTTAGTATCATAAAAGTTTCTAATTAAGGGAATCCGACTAATCCCATTGCTTTCACAGAAAAATCGCCGCTGCAAAGTCAGTTTTCTTCCTCTCCTCAGCCATTTCCTCAATGTATTGTACACCAAACCCAGTAATGAATTCCTTACCATTGCCCAAAGTTGGCGGCCAGCTCGTTTCCTTCCCATCATCTCATTTTGCCGCTCCAAAATCCCAGTATTTCTCACTTGCTTGCGTACCTGATAACCTTTCCTTCTCACTTTCTTCCTCCTCTCTCCCCTTCCTTCTATCTTCTGGGATGGAGAAACGCAAACCCCATTTGGGATCTCTGGTGTCTGCCATAACCGCCCAACAAGAAGAGGACAACACTATCCTTGACCAAGATGAAGATGGAGGCAAAGCTTTCCACTTTAAAGGAGACAAAGAAGGGATTTTGGAGGCTGTTGCTGAGGTAATATTTTTGTTAAAAATTTGATTTTTACCCATATTTCGGATTTATGCCCCATTTTTTTATTGATGCTCAACTAAGAAACTAAAAAAATAACCTACGTTATGAGCAAATAGATTCACTACCTTAAGCTGTGTTAATATTAGATAATACGTAGTATTAGTTATGTACATGAATTTTGTTTGACCTTGTTTTGGTTAATAAGAATTGCGATTAAAAAAAGAAGCTTTGGTCCTTTGGATAACATATACCATTCATCCCTACTACCTCTGATTTTGGGGTGAGGAAAATGGAGTGAATGGGGGTATGTAGGAATTAATAATTCAGTTAACTGACGCTGATATTTACATAAAGTAAGGGTTTTGATGGTATTCTAAATTTAACCTAAATTGAAGGAAGGGTCTGCAATGCATTCTGAATCTCATATATCCCAAGGGGAGGCTTTGAGAGACAAGGAATGGGAAGTGGACAGGTTTCAGGATGAGGTTGCTGCTAGCCAGGGTATAAGGATTCGGAGAAGGCCATCTACTGGACCACCTTTGCATCATGTTGGCCCTTTCGAGTTTAGGTTAGAGAATGAAGGGAACACTCCACGGAACATACTAGAAGAGATTGTATGGCAAAAGGATAAGGAAGTTAACGAGGTACTCTTAAGATTGAATTCTTGTATTGTGTTTGTTTGATTGTGAGATGCTTATGAGAACTGGGGCATGTTGGTTTGTTTGATTGTCTTCTTTTTTCAGATGAAGGAAAGAAAGCCTCTTAGTGCATTGAAAAAAGTACTTGACAAAGCTCCGCCGACTAGAGATTTTATTGGTGCTCTTAAAGAATCATATTCTAGAACTGGAGTGCCTGGTTTGATTGCTGAAGTAAAGAAGGCTTCCCCAAGCAGAGGGGTGTTAAGAGAAGATTTTGATCCTGTAAGGTTTCAGTGTCTTAATTTGTGCTTTGGTATTTTTTGTATTTTAGAAAATGATAGCTGACACGTAATGGAGCTGTTTGAGTAGTGGCGTTTTGTGGCCAATGAATTTCAACAAAAATAGATGCATAGCTCACCATCCTTGCATTACATTGAAACTTAGGTGTATCGTGTAACTTTTATAATAAAAAAAATCCAAAAACTGGCAACCACGTGAACAAGGCCTTTGGTTTTAGTCTGCATTGTTTTCTTAAAATCTTATAAAAACAAAGAACATGAGGGAGTGATACTTTCCAGTGCATTATTTGATCGAGTAAATATTGTTTGTGCATAAGTGTAAACATATAATGAAACAACAATTTATTATTCTGTCAAATTCTTTAGTTCGAGAGCAATTAAATTGGACAGGAAGTTCAGCCTTGGACTTTACCTTTGATAGACCACGGTTATCTATCCACCAACTTGAATTATAAAGATAATTTTAAGACATCAAAATTTGAAACATAACTGCTTTATGATGTTTTCCTGTGACAGGTTGAAATTGCCAAAGCTTATGAGAAAGGTGGAGCAACATGCCTGAGTGTCTTAACTGATGAGAAGTTTTTTATGGTAAATATTGATATATTCTCATGTTCCGTAGTATACAACTCAAATATTAGCAACCCACTTGTTTCTCTTATTTTATTTTGCAAAATCAGGGAAGCTTTGAAAACCTTGAGGCCATAAGGAATTCTGGAGTAATGGTATTCTCCAACTTTAGTGTGCATGTAACATCTCTGAAAAAAAGTCCAATTGCTTCGCTATCTTTTGAATCCCTTATCAACAATACTCAATAATGCAGTGTCCATTACTATGCAAAGAGTTTATTATTGACGAATGGCAAATTTACTATGCTCGAGCCAAAGGGGCTGATGCAGTTCTTCTAATTGCTGCCGTTTTACCCGATCTTGATATAAAGTATATGGTTAAGATCTGCAAATTGCTTGGGCTTGCTGCACTTGTTGAGGTTTGGTTAGGACATAACTTCAACACTTTTATCAGCATATATGTAATCTTAATCATTTATGACTGGAGTTTAATACTTCTTATTTTGTATTTAATTTTTTTAATCAAGTATAGAGGGTTACCTTCTCACTGTCAAACGACCTTAACAATTATTTTTCTACTTTACCAACTCTATTGAGTAGTAGGGGTTAAAGGTAATAAGCTTCTCATTGTGTCAAGAGCAGCTAGGTAATATTCCTTTGATGTCCCATGCCCCTAGGTACATGATGAGAGGGAGATGGACCGTGTGCTTGGAATAGACGGGATTAAACTGATTGGCATCAATAACAGAGATCTAGGTATTTTTAATTTTACAATTATGCACATTTTAAACATTTTGCAGGGTTGTTATATTGTTTAAAAATCTTTAATCTTATTTTCATATTGTAAAATGCAGTGTTCTAAAAGGGGCTAGGCGCCAGTTGGGTGGTGACTGGCTGCCTAGCGCTTACCCCGCCTAGGCGCGGACTAGGACCCTGGGTATTCCCTTTATTATTATTTTCATTTCCAATGAATTTCAACAAACTTTTCTGATAACTTTATAATATTTTAACAATAGAAATAGTTCATATAATCATTAAATGGTATAGTTTGTAGTAAAATTCACAAAAACAAAATAACTAATAAATAAATTAAGAGATTTTTGCTTTTAGTCTCTAAAAATGTTAATTTACATTAAAAAAAAGTCCATATACATTGAAAAATTACTTCTTGTTATAGAAATGTGATAATCAATTCTACAGAAAGAGAATACTTATTGATCAAATGGTGTTTTAAGACAAAGGAAAAAATAAGTTGAGTCGGGTACAAAGTTAGTCCGGGGGGCCTTGGTGCCGCCTAGGCGGCCAACTGACTTTTTCCACTGGTTACTATGAAATCGGGGCGCCCGGCCACCGCCTAGGCCCATTTTCCATTTTTAGGACCATTTTAAAAATTACTCTGTAATATTTATTGGTACCTAATACTTCTCCACATCAACAAGTAACTCTGAAGCAGCAAGCGATGCTTAAGCATACAAGAGGTCTTTCTTCTCGTGCACACCTCAAGTTGTTCCTCAAATTTAATTTAAGGGCCAACAATTAGCTTCTTGGAGTAGAGAAGCTTTGAATAAGCTTATTTTCCAAATATGCAAGAACTCTTATGTAAATTTGACTAACTCAATCAATAGCAGTGATAATACCTGGGAGGGGTTCAATTTGAATTGCATGCATCTCTAGTAAGTTAACACAAATACTGTGTATAAAGATCGGATTGATTATTAAAATTTTGGTGTTATACTGCTACACACACACAAACATATATATGGTATGATATGATGAGATCAAGACTGTGTAACAGAAACCTTTATGTAACAGATATGTGTGTAATATGTGTATCAGTGTGTTTTGTGTGCATAATATATCAAAAGTTTGGACAGCCGGACAGGAAAATGTCCGGACCTGAGCAGTCCTTTCGGCATGCACAGTGTATTACATGTGTGTGTTATTATTCTTTTTTTGTCAACAAGTTGCACTTTTGTGTATCGGCAGAAACTTTCAAAGTTGATATTAGCAACACAAAGAAACTCCTGCAAGGGGAACGTGGGGAAATTATCTGCGAAAAGGGCATAATTGTAAGTACCTTTAGTTGGGGTTGCATCCTTTTCAATCATTCCCCCCTAAATCCTTTTAATTTAATGATATATCTATATTCATATCTATCTGGGTTTGTCTGTTTAGGTTGTCGGGGAGTCTGGACTGTTCACACCGGCTGATATTGCTTATGTACAAGAAGCTGGCGTTCGAGCAGTAAGCTGGAAAATAATTTTGTCCAGTAAATTCTATGTTATTTTTGAAGCGTTGAAAAATAATAGGAATGCATAGGAGGTGTGGGTGTGGTATTTGGAGAGGTAAATGACTTTCCCATGTTTGCACTCTTAGCTCCCTCAAATGGAGAGGAATGAGTGACATGTTGTGAGTTGTCTTCCCTCAAGGTGGTATAATGGTTCCCGTTTGGTAAACCGTTTTTAGATTATCTTTCATTGCCATGGTTTATACGCAGCACCATATATTTAACGCAGTAGGTTGCATTCATCGAGTCTGCTAATTTAGAAAAATCTATGCATACATTGCCCTTTTCATTTGGCAGAATTAAGCTAAACGAAGATAAATGAGACATCTATTCCCATCTTTTTTTAAATACTCTGTTCGATTTACTTAAATTTATTACAAAATACATTTTTATACTTTCCTAGTGGATTCATTTCAATCACACGTTCGCCCTTCTCATCATATAAATACTCCTAAAGCTTTAGTGAGAAATTATTAAGAAATGTATTTAATATATTAGTACTTCTTAGCAGACTCATTTCAGTCACCCTGCCATTCATCCATTTGAGAATTCATTTATGATGTTGTTTTTAGTAGTCTTTTAAGCCATTCCATTAGGCGGGGGATGGCGGAGGGGTATTTATCAGGCCTATGCTGGACTTTTACAACAATGTGTACCACACTACATAATTTCACATTTGGTGATTTTGCAGGTCTTGGTGGGGGAGTCGATTGTGAAACATCGAGACCCTGCACAAGGAATTGTGGAATTATTTGGAAGAGATATTTCTTATTGAGCCCAGATCCCACAAGATTGTAGGATTTCGGGGTTTGAATGAACCTTGCAGTAGATCCCATTGAACCGAGCGGAGCCAGGGCAATACAAAGAATATTTTTGATTTTTTTTTTACCCAGAATTTTTTATCCTAAAAATATCGGCATTTTTTAAATTTGGGGTGGGCCGAGTCTAGGTCCCCCCCCCCCCGAGTGGATCAATGGTTCTTATACAAATTTTTGTGATGTCCAATGGTTCTTATACAAATTTTTGTGATGTCCAATGGTTCTTATACAAATTTGTGCTCTATCTAGTGGCTTAACATCTTTAAAAGCTTTCCTGATACCGGTTAGTTAGTTAGTTAGTTATCTCTCGGTGAGTTGCCAATAAAAAGAATTTGCTAGTCCTCTTTAACACGTGTCTGCTGTTGGACAAGATATTTTTATCATTATGATCAATGGGATCTACTGCAAGGTTCAGTTTGTACCGGGGGTGGAGATACAAATCCATAATTGGTTAACGGTAAATAACCGAAAAACCATTATTTTTTCGTCAGTCATACCGTGTGTAACAGGAGCCTAACTCAACTGTTAATTGATCAAAAGATTAACAAGAGCCTAACTCCATTGATAATCTTGGATGCAAGAAAGTATTAGAAGAATCAGATAGAATTTGCGAATGAATTCTTTATTTACTGTAATGAGGAATTTATACAAAGTGTTCGCTAGCTAATCATCCAACTGTACGCTAACAACACTAACAGAAGTATACAACTGAATATAACCAACCCTTGACTAACTAGCTATTTACTAACGGAAGTCAAAGTCTCAGTCAAAGCCTCCGTTACAATCCTTCCCCCTTGAAAACTTCAGACTTGCCCTCAAGTCAGCCATCTGCTCTAGAGATATCAAACTCAGGATATTGCTCCCTAAAAGTTTGAGCAGATTCCCAAGATGCTTCCTCAGCTGGAAATCCCTTCCATTGCACTAAGAATTGCACCTGAACTTTATTCTGAAATTGGACACTTCTTCTATCCAGAATTCTCTCAGGTTGAGGCAGTACTTCTGCAGCTTTTCCCCTGAACCAAGCAGGAATGTGAGTGGCCATAGGAAGTTCACCTCTAAACTTCTTAAGCTGAGATACATGAAAGACATCATGTATTTGAGAATCCGTTGGCATTTTGAGCTTATAGGCCACCTTCCCTATAGCTTCTTTTATCTGAAAGGGTCCAAAAAATTTGGCTGACAGTTTCTGATTATGCCTTATTTGTACAGATTGCTGCCTATAATGCTGTAATTTTAACCAAACCCAATCTCCTATAGCAAATACTCTTTCACTTCTTCTTTTATCAGCAAATTGCTTCATTCTTGCTTGGGCCTTATTAAGACTTTCTTTGAGCTTCTTAATCATTTCCTCTCTCCTTTGCATTGACCTATCTACCACCTCAACTTTGGATTCTCCTGGCAGATATGGAATATACAATGGGGGAGGTTGGTTGTAAATGATTTCATAAGGAGTTGTCCCTGCTGAGGATTGATAATGAGTATTAAACCACCATTCAGCCAAGGGCAGCCAAAAACTCCACTCCTTAGGTTGTTCACCACACATACACCTTAGGTACATTTCCAAGCATTTGTTCACTATCTCCGTTTGACCATCTGTCTGCGGATGGTAGGCAGAAGATAAGTCGAACCTGGTTCCTTGTAATGAAAATAGCCCTTTCCAAAACTGGCTCAAGAAAACTGTATCTCTATCACTCACAATACTCTTGGGCCATCCATGTAACTTGAATATGTTATCCAAGTAGGCTTGAGCTACATCAATAGCAGTAAAAGGATGTGCAAGGGCTACAAAATGAGCCCCTTTACTCAGTCTGTCCACCACTACTAATATCACCTCCTTCCCATGTGATTTAGGTAATCCAGTAATAAAGTCTAATGAAATATCAACCCAAACTTCCTCAGGAATAGGTAATGGTTGCAAAAGCCCCGGATATGCTACACTCTCATGCTTGTTTGCTTGACAAACCAAGCACTGTCTGACAAAATTGCTGACCTCCTTGTTTAATCCCTTCCAATAAAACATAGTTTTGATCCTTCTTAACGTAGCATCCCTTCCTGAGTGACCTGCCTCTCCAGAATCATGATGCCACTTTAAGATCTTATTTTTCAAGACAGTATCATTACCTACCACAATTTTCCCTTTTCTTCTTAACAACTCATTGTGTAATGAATAATCTCCCACAGGTTGATTCTTCTTCAGTAATTGGATGATTGTTGTTGCTTGCGCATCATTACTATAACTGTCAATAATCAGTTTTTCCAAGTCTGAAACTACCACAGATATAGCTAGGCATTCTATTTCATTCCCTTGCACTCTTGACAAAGCATCTGCAGCCACATTTTCCTTGCCACTTCTATATTGAATTTCATAGTCAAAGCCCATCAATTTAGATAACCAAAACTGTTGAAAAGGGGTAGAAATTTTCTGCTCCAACAACCATTTAAGGCTTTTCTGATCTGTTTTGATTATAAAGTGCTGGGAAATCAGATATTGTTCCCATTTTTGCACAGCAAAAACAATAGCTAATAATTCCTTTTCATAAACAGACAGTTTTTGCCACTTAGCTCCCAAAGATCTGCTTATATAGGCTATGGGATGATTTTCTTGCATCAGAACAGCACCAATCCCTCCATTGGATGCATCAGTCTCCACCACAAATATTTTTGAAAAATCAGGAAGTGCTAGAACTGGAGCAGAGCTTAAAGCCATTTTCAGTTTCTCAAAGGCATCTTGAGCATCCTGATTCCACAAAAAAGATCCTTTCTTTAATAAATTTGTTAAAGGTTTACTTATTACTCCATAAAACCTTACAAATTTTCTGTAATAACCAGCTAACCCCAGAAAACTCCTCAATTGTTTAACCGATTTTGGAACTGGCCATTTAACTACAGCTTCCACCTTTTTAGGATCGGTTTCAATTCCTGCACCAGATATAAAATGCCCCAAATACTCCACCTTAGGCATAGCAAAATCACATTTAGAAGCCTTAGCATACATGTGATTCTCTTTCATAATCTGAAAAACCATTCTCAAATGAATCCAATGCTCCTCCCTGCTTTTACTGTATACCAAAATATCATCAAAAAACACAAGCACACACTTTCTCAAAAGAGGTTTAAAAACTGAATTCATCCAGTTTTGAAATGAAGCTGGAGCATTTGTTAAACCAAAAGACATTACTAAAAACTCATAGTGGCCCTCATGAGTTTTGAATGCCGTTTTATGCACATCCTCCTTATTCATCCTTAGTTGATGATACCCTGCTCTTAGATCCAGTTTACTGAAAACTGTAGATCCAGCCAATTCATCGATTAGTTCATCTATTATTGGGATAGGGAACTTATTCTTTATGGTTCTTTTGTTTAATTCCCTGTAATCCACACATAAGCGCCACGTTCCATCTTTCTTGCCTATCAACACAACAGGAGAAGCATATGTGCTTGAACTATTCTGAATTATTCCTTGTTCATGCATTTCAGAAATCAGACCTTCAATAATATCCCTTTGCTTCAATGGATATCTATACGGTCTGATGTTAACTGGATTAGATCCCTGTTCTAAAGGTATTTTGTGGTCATATATACCTCTAGAAGGGGGTAGAGACTTAGGTTCTTCAAAAACCATATCAAATTGTTGTAGCAGATCATGTAGTTCCCCCGGATACTGAGCATCTTTCACTTCCACTGATGTACAACACAAATCTGATTCTTCTTCATGGTTAGGAATTAGCTGCAGCAAAAAAATTTGGGAAGCTTGATCAAGAAACCTTTTGGAATTATGCTCAGATAGTGAGTTCAATTTGGAATTGAATACCCCATGAAGAGTAACAGGTGAACCCTTCCAATCAAACTTCATAATCAAATTCTTAAAATCCCAATGTACTGGCCCCAGTTCTGTGAGCCATTGTACTCCTAATACCATATCACAACTCCCCAAAGGTATTAATAATACATCAGTCTTGAATTGATGCTGTTGTAGGGTCCAAGTGAAATCTCTACACATGTCCTGACAAGATAAGTGATTACCATCTGCCACTATGACAGTCTGTGACCTCATCCTTTCACTTTTAAGTCCCAGTTTCTGAGCCAAGTTCATATCCATGAAATTATGTGTGCTCCCAGAATCAATCAAAATGTGAAGTGGCTTCTTTCCCGCATAGCCCACTACTCTCATTGTTTGGTACCCTGAACATCTTGACAGTGCATTAATGGAAATGCAAGGGTCCTGGATCACTGATGGCTCATATCCTCCATTTACTTCCTCAGAATTCTCTTCTTCTTGTTCATCCTCTAATCCTTGGACCTCCACTGTAAACAACTGAGTTTTCTTGAATTGGCATTTGTGGTTTCTATCATAAGGCTGATCACAGTAATAACACTGACCCTTAACCAACTTTTCAGCTCTCACAGAAGCTGGAATATAAGTTCTAGAACTCATTTCAGTCTGGTTTTGTTCCTTAGAAAGATTATTTTTGGTAGGCAGAAACTTCTGTGCAGTATTCGTAAGAGGTAAGGGCCCCTTTTGATAAGTCTGATTAAGCTTGGAAGTAGCAGTTATAGTTTCATCCTGAGATCTTGCCAACTCAATAGCTTCAGCCATCGTAGAAGGTTTAAGAACCTTTACAAAAGATTTCAGGGATGCTTTTAATCCCCCAACAAAGCAATCCAAGAAATATTTTTCTGGCAACGGATGTGTTCTTTTAATCATGCTTTTAAGTTCCTCAAATTCATCAATATAAGCATCAATAGAAGATTTTTGTTGGCATTTATTAAATCTTTCCACAACATCCCTTTCAGATTCATCTCTAAATCTAGCAGACAAATCTTCCTCAAAATCCTGCCAATTTACCCCTATTCTGTCAGCAAGGTAATTAGTTACCCATATTTCAGCTTTTCCAGACATGTTCAACGCAGCAATATCTACTTGTTGTTCTTCAGGGGTTTGACATAATGCAAAATATCTTCTACATTTCTTAAGCCACATACTGCTATTACTACCATCAAAGTAAGGAAAATCAAGTTTAGGAGTATACCCCAGTGATTTTGCATAATTTCCCCCTTTTTCTTTGTGATGATTGAAGTTTGGAGAGTTTGAAGAAGTTTCCTTATCCACCTTCTTCTGTAAATCCACAACCGCTCCAAGCAATTGTTGAATTTGCTGTTGAATTTCTTGTTGAAATTGCAGATGAGATTGAGCGAGAGCTTGTATTTGCTCCTCCATAGCTTCAATGGCAGATTTCGATCGAGACCGAGGCGCCAGATTGATTCGCAGAAAAAATCTCCAGTGGAAGAGAAATTACCACGATCGAGCTCTGATACCAATGTAACAGGAGCCTAACTCAACTGTTAATTGATCAAAAGATTAACAAGAGCCTAACTCCATTGATAATCTTGGATGCAAGAAAGTATTAGAAGAATCAGATAGAATTTGCGAATGAATTCTTTATTTACTGTAATGAGGAATTTATACAAAGTGTTCGCTAGCTAATCATCCAACTGTACGCTAACAACACTAACAGAAGTATACAACTGAATATAACCAACCCTTGACTAACTAGCTATTTACTAACGGAAGTCAAAGTCTCAGTCAAAGCCTCCGTTACACCGTGCTTTTAAAAACTTACGGCATGGTTAA